AGGAAGCACCTAGAGAAAGAAGAGGGATCACTAGGAACTGGCCAGCTCGTGCATGTGGCTGGTGGGGAGGGGTCCGGGACTTGCACAGAGAGTATTGAGAGGTGAGGCTAAAGATGTAAGCAAGAACCTTGAAAGTCTCAATAAACAGTATAGACTTCACCCTTGAGGGCAAGGGCAAACCTTGAAGGGTGTTAAGCAGAGGCATGACATAATCTGCTGCAATTAGGAGAATGGAATAGAAGCAGCAAAACTGGAGTCAAAGAGACTAGTTAGAAGGCTTTTGTAGTAATCCAAGAAGAATATAATCATCTTGACTAGGACAGGGCAATAGGGATGGGAAGAAAGGAATACATCTGAGAAACCTCTGGGAGGCAGAATCAACAGGATCTGGCAATTAATTGGTGTGGCTCGAGAAGGGATAATTCTCAGATTTCCAACAGAACAACTCAGTAGATGGTGCCAGTCATTATTTGAGGGAATGCTGGAGGGCAGGGTGTGAGGAAAACGGTAACATCTGAGCTTGAAGGGGCCTGTGGACATCTAGGTGGAGATGTACAGTAGGTAGCTAGATATGCAGGTGCGGCGTTTAGGTGGCAGATGAAATTGATTTCTTTTCTCTAGTTGGAGAAAAAGATTAGAAGAAATCAGCATACAGAGGATAGTTGAAGCTATGGCAAAAGATGAGATCACTCTGGTAAGTGTGAATGTGTAGAATAAACAGAAAAAACAACCAGGATAGAGATCAAAGAAACACTGCTGTTTAAGAAACACCAACATGAAAAAAAGAAGGAAAGAAGTATTCACATCTCCACAAATGACTGAGAAGTGGCCAGAGAAACAGAAGACATAACAAAAGTAAAGATAAAGATGATTTCAAGAAGGATGAAGTAGTCAACTCTGTTGAGCAATGCCAAGAGCACCCAGCCTGACCCGGAGCCAGCATGTCCCTAGGCCACCCTTCCAGCCATCTTCCACACACCCACAGGACGGTCACTGCCCCTCAGTGCTCGCCCAGGTGTGTAGTTCCATCATGGCACCTTTCACTCCAGACAGCAGTCTCTTCAGTGGTCCTGACTACTTGACAGCAGCCTCAAGGGAACCTCAGTAGCCCCTGCTGAGTGCATGCTCCCCATCTACAACAGTGATAACGTAACCTGGGCAAGTATCTTTCCAACTCCAGACCTCCTAAAACCTGAAGCGAACTCCAGGCCCACACCTGCAAAGGACGGCCAGAATGCAGTACGCATACCGCAGCAAGAGGTCAGGGGAAAAACAAGGAAGACAAATGCCAGAATTTATGTGCTCAACCTCCCTCCTCCCTCCAAGGGGAGGAAACCTTCCTGCTCCAAAACTGAGGCTGCTCCTAGATGAGAGTCCTCTCACCAGAGTCTCGGCAGACCCCCGGCCCCTATTCCACCAGAGAACAGCATCTGATTCTCCTGACCCTCTCTAAGGGGCCTCTTCTCAGACTTCCAGTAAGGGTCAGGGCCTCCCTCAGACCAGTTCTTTCCCTCTTCCCAACCTTCTTTCTTCTCAGACTCACAGCCCACTAGGAAAGCCTCTATTCTAGCTTCTCAGCCAAGCTGTGCTATTTGGCTGGTGAACCTGGATCTTCAAGCTACAGGCTAAAATTGAAGTTCATCGAGTGGGTTCCTGCACAAGTGTCCCTCCTCGGTCTACACCAGCGATACTCACGCCACCATACCAAAGATGGAGCCCCTTGAAAGAGGCACTCCCTACCTGGGTAAGCAGAGAAACTACACTAAACCCTATGGGGAGCTTTAAGAAACACCAAGCAAGGCGAAAGAAAAAGTAGGGCAGATAGGGAAGGCAAGCTGACCAAGAGCCAGACCCATAAGTGTTGTTTCTTGAAAAACTTGAGGGAAAATTAAATCCACACTCACTAAATAAAAACTCAGCTTAGCAGGATCTGTGACTATGGCATCAAAGCCCACATAAACTTGGAGAATCAACTCATCAGGCTTTGACAAAAGATGGACATAAAATGATTTGTCAGGAAAGGAGCAAATTTCTTTTCTCCAGTGGGATTTCTGCTGCCACTTCAGTTCCCATTTCTCAGTGGCCCACTAATCAGCCCCTTTCCAACAAAAGTGATGTGAAGCTGGCTGGGGGGAGAAGGGGAGCAGGAGGTAAGGACAGCAATGAGAAGGAGCCATAGCTTCCAGAAACTAGAGTGTGAAATGAAAATGTTTGCTGAATTCCTTAGACTTAGTTAAATCGGAAAATGGATGTCAAAATAAGAAGTAAGCCACATACTAACAAGTTGTGAGTGTCAATTTAACACCACCCTTGTCAGGCTCATCTGCAGCCTTTACCAGGCGCATAAAAAGGTGACGGCTCTGACGAGGGCCATCTGACGAGCCTCTGCCGAGAGGTTCCAGGAACACCGATTAGCTGTGCGCTGTCACGCAGCACTACTTAGGTTTCCTCTCCGGCTGTTTTTATTTTGTTACACATTTAATTAAGAGCCTTCCCAGCAGTTATGCAGAGACCTGCTTATAAGAGGCAGCCACAGAGCTCCCTCCCCCAAGCCCTGCCACCTGCTTCCTTTCTGCACACCCTTTTCTGAAGCTTCACCAGCCTTCCCAGTCCAAACTCAAACCAGCCAACAAAGTCTGCCATACCCATCTCTTTTGGAAACTACGTGGTCTTAGAATTCAATTCTGTCCAGCTACAGGCCTTTAGCTCTCTGAGCCACAGGGGGTTTTGGTTTGTTTCATCTACAAAAGAAAGACAATACCACCACCCACCAGAGATAGTAGTCAAGAGGTGTGGATATGGTAAGGTATGCACTCATTAAAACTTGGCTTCTGCCTGGCGCGGTGGCTCACACCTGTAATCCCAGCACCTTGGGAGGCCAAGGTGGGCAGATCATGAGGTCAAGAGATCGAGACCATCCTGGCCAACATGGTGAAACCCCGTCTCTACTTAAAAAAAAAAAAAAAAAAAAAAAATCAGCTGGGCATGGTGGCAAGCGTGCCTATAGTCCCAGCTACTTGGGAGGCTGAGGCAGGAGCATTGCTTGAACCCGGGAGGTGGTGGAGGTTGCAGTGAGCCGAGCTCACGCCACTGCACTCCAGCTTGGTGCCTGGCAACAGAGCGAGACTCTGTCTCAAAAAAAAAAATAAAAAAACTTGGCTTCCTTTCATGTATGCTTGAGTTCCACAACCCAGCAGAGCAATCTCCTGAGTCACCAACACCTGTCCAGGGCCCACTGTGCTACAGAACAGGCCAGACCCAAAGAAGACAGCATCCTCTGAAATTCCCTCTCCATTTCATGGGGAGACCAACTCCAAGCTTATATAGTCTCCAATCTTGTGCACAGGAAAGTTTTCATATATATGTATAAGTACATATCATGCACAGTTAAAGTAGAAGATTCTGAAATGCGTGTGTTTGGAAGGTGAAGATGGCAAAGAGAGAAAAACACTGGACGAATGGGAGTCCTGGTGAGGCTACCTGGAGGAAGCAGACCTCTGGACTGAGTCAAAGGGACTTCCTCCTGGGCCATACGAACCCGAGAATTCTGGGAATCAGCCTGAAACTGGCCCCACCTTGAAGAGCTTCTCCTGGGCTAGAGAGCTCCATATTAAGCCCCTTCCTTGCTTTAAGGACTCAAAGCTGCCCAGGACCCCATTAATAAGAACAAGAGCCTTCTTTCCTCCTCTCCTTCTCCATGAACTCCTCCTCTGATTCATATTTCCTTCTAGTTCCAGCCTGTATAATTTCCCTGACACAGAGGTGTCATATGGGAATATGGAGACCCTCTGGAGTAAACCAAGAGGGGTACAGTCAGTGTGTGTACACACGGGTGTGGGAGATGAGGTTTGTGTGTGCTCATGTGATTTGGGACCTTTTCTTCCTCCTGTCTTACCTAGAAAGTTGGAGTCCAATAGCGGGCTTGAGACCCACCAGGGTATATAACATCACCTCAATGCCTGGCATCCAAAAGGCTTACAAAGAGTCTTGGTGAGAAGATGACATCTGATGTGGTAGAAAATGTTACTCCAGAGCTACTATACTATACCCCTCACCAACATCCCACTTTATGCTCAAAAGTTCAAATACACACACACACACACACACACACACAGAGAGAGAGAGAGGGAGGGAGGGAGAATACTTGCTGCTATCTTCAGTCACAATGAACACAGAAGTAATCGATTCTATGACTCCTCAGCAAACAGCGCCCCCACCACCTCCATCCCACTTCAGTTCCCTGGGGGCCATCTGAAGCCACATATCCATGAGGGCAAACAAATGCACAAGTGTCAACCCAGCAGAGAAACCAGTTCTGTCTTCCATAACTGGGACAGGATCAGGAGACAAAGGTAAAAAGTAGTGTGGACAAAGGAGGAAAGAGGAGGCTGGTGACTTGGGCAGTTTCCTGGAAGCAGCCCTCTCTTATCCCACCACTGGGATCCCAGTTGGATCACCAGGGTCTTGCAGGCCAGATAAAGGGGAAGCATAGTATAATAGTTAAAAGCAAGGACCTGAGTTTGAATCCTGGCTCTGTGTGTCCTTCGGTAAATTACTTAACCTTTCTGTGCCTTTATTTCCTCAACTATAAAATAGGAAGAATAATAATGCCTACTTTATAGGGTTGATAAATAAGTTACTATATTTCATTACATAATAAACATTCTATCTGGCTTCAAATTTTTATTTTCAAGATGCTCTTTTACCTCCTTCCTTCCAAGGCAATAACATACAACCCCACAATTGGAAGGGCTGTCGTGAGCAGTGAGACCTGGCAAAGGCAGGAAGGCCCCAACCATCCAGGCAGGCCCTTGACTTGCACACACACTGCTCCAGAGAGGCAGAAGGCAGGGCTCCCAACCCTCTTCTATCCCTGGTAGCCTCAAAGACTTGAAGAATCCCTCACCCAGCTGACTTGTAGACATTTAAGCCTCCAGAAGGCAAGACCTGGTCCCACAGATTCCAAGTCCTGACAGCAAAGTAGCCCTTCTCATACTCACATGACTTTTAAGTCCCAGTCTCCACAGGTGACAAAAATTGACTTGACGTTTGGATCTAAGAGGCCTTCCTTCGCCATCCACTCATCGACCCTCTGAAAAGTACACAAGAACAGATGAGATTTTCCTTTTTTTTCCCTAAGCCTGTGAAGAGCCACAACAGTGAAACGCAAATAAGCTGCGTGTAATCAGAGCAGGAAAAAATTGTAATCTTATCCCGCCATGGCCCCACTGTGGGCTCTCAGTCTTGGTCAGAACCACAGAAGCACTTGGAAGAGAACCCCTTCAGGAAGATCCCGCAGCCTAAGTGTGTAGCAGGAGGGAACCCCTACACTTGCCTATTGCCCGTCAGCCTGCCCCAGATCCCAGCAGGTCAGTCCAAATACCTTGCTCTGACCTGGCTATACCTCTTATTGGTCCCCTGGCCTAGTATAGACAGGCTATTGTCCTGGGGCATGAGAACAGGCTAGAAGGAGGCCCCAGGCAGGGGCTCCCACCCACAGCTTCACTCATTCATTTATTCACTTTACCCTTCTACCAAATGTTTATTAACCAAACTTATGAATTTGCTTATTCACCAAAGGAAGGTGATGAACATTTTCACCTTCAGAAGAGGCCCCTTTACTAGGCTGGAGCCCCATCCTGACACCTGGGATAGTGCTGCGTGCTCCAGCTGCTAAAAGTTCAAAAACTGGCCCCCAACTTCATATTTCTCTTCTTCGTGGTTGAGGATTCAAATTTAGCAGGATATTTTAAGGCAGAGCTCAATTCCTACACAGGGAGAAAAACTGCTCCTAAACACTCTAAACTTTCTTTCCCTTCATCCCTTTGATCAGTTTTATTATTTGCGTTCACACTGGAAGTACAAATGCTAAAATCAGTATACAACAAGAGAAATATCATAAACAATTCAAGGCTGGGCGTGGTGGCTCAGGCCTATAATCCTAGGACTTTGGGAGGCCGAGGCAGGCAGATCACTTGAGGCCAGGAGTTTGAAACCAGCCTGGCCAACATGGCAAAACCCCATCTCTACTAAAAATACAAAAATTAGCTGGGTGTGATGCTGTACACCTATAATCCCAGCTACTTGGAAGGCTGCGGCACAAGAATTGCTTGAGCCCAGGAGGTGGAGGTTGCAGTGAGCTGAGATCACACCTTTGCACTCCAGCCTGGGTAACAGCGCGAGACTCTGTAAAAAACAAATAAATAATAAATAAAAAGAATTCATAAAGCATTGCCTATTTTTCAGAAGGTCCCAGGCACAGAAAGGTAGTGCAACAGATCACATCACTGCTTCTACCCATGCAAGAGGATTATTTTTTTAAGGCTATCTCACGTAGTCATTAAAAATGCAGGATTGGAAGCCAGATACATCTGGATTCCAACCCTTGGCTATTCCATATCCTGGCTGTGTCACTGATAGAGAGTTATTTAAAAGTCATGTAACCTCTGTGAACCTCAGTTTCCTTCATCTATAAAACTTTACGCAGAGTTGTTCTGAGAATTAAATGTGATAATATTTAAAGTACCTACCACAAAACAGGCAGTAGGCTGAGAAGGGGAGAAAGGCAGATCATCATAATACAAGACGCAGCAATGGACCCATGACCACAGTGCTACAGGACCAAGAAGAGGAAGTGGCTAGCCCTACCTTTTACAGGGCAAGGAGTCAGAAAAGGCTTCACAAAGAAGATAGTTGAACTAGGAACCTGACACGGTGGAACACAGAAAAGGATACTACAGGCAGAGACAAAGGCACATGCACAATAATTTTGTATTTGAAGCAATTATCTGTTTAACATCTGGTTCCTTGCGACCATAAGCACCATGAAAACTCTGTCTCACTCACTGCCTTAATCTCTCACCCAGCACAGGATCTACTGAAGAGATATTTGCTGACTGACTGAAAACATGAGTAGGTAAAAGTTTAGGGTGACTAAAGTCCACAGTATATAGAAAGGAAGGACAGAGACTGGAGGACTAGGTTAGGCCAGACTATGAAGGGCCTTGTGTGCTCAGCAGGTGATAGGGAGCCCATGGATATCTTTAAGTATTTTAAGTAAGATTACTTCTAGCAGGTGTAGGCTGGCTCCCTGGATACCTCTGAGATGCTAGAGGCCTGGCCCATGCTAAAGTCACCCCTGACTAAGGCCAAGGATCCTACCTAGTTCCATGGCTACATCAGTCCTACCAGCCAGAATGTCAGAGCTGCTCCCTGGCACCAGACTATGCAGACCATGTAGTCTCTAAACCCTCTTTACGGTCTGTACACCAGAGAATCCTCCTCAGCCAAAGAATCTTTCCAAAAGGTAAATTCTGGATCATCCACTGCTGAATGGTCCATCTCCTCAGTTACTTTGGCCCAGCTCCTTGCATGTATGTGCACGCATGTGCATGCGTGCGCGCGTGCGTGCACACACACACACACACACACACACACACGTGTGCAGGAATCCCTTCCCCAGGGTCACCTAAGAAAAGAGGTAAGGTGAAATCAGCATAACGTCTCCCCCAGCTCACTGCTTTATATCCCCAAGTTAAGTGCCCCACATACTACAGGGGCTCCCCGGTGCCCTAACTCCTGTGAAAGAGAGAGTAAGACACAACAGGACTGTCAGGAGGCCACACTCAGCAAAACTGGGCTCTCATCACGAGAAGCACTCAACACTCACTAGGGTCCCTGGAAGCTTAGGACTTAGCAGCTATTTAGTGAGCATCTTTTACTATGAGCCCATCCAGGGAAGGGATATTACATTTTGAATCAGGCCTGTCCTTTACCTTGCCTTCTCTGCTTGAATGAATAAGGGTTGGAGGAACCACCAACACCTCAATCAGCTGGGCCAGCCATCCCAGTTACTGAAGTTCTAGTGGGGTCCAGGCTGAGCTCTACTTAGAACAAATCAATCAGGTAAACATCTAGCTGGCTGCCTGCTAAGGGCCTTGGTTGGGACAAGAAACAAGCTCTTTAGCTCTAGAACCAACTCAGGACTAATGAGATGAAGCAGAGCCTGGTCTGGTCTCCTAGTCCTTCCAGAAACTCTCTATTCAGACTGATACTGGGAATCTTCCCTCCTTACCAACAAAGTATGTAGAAGTAGCAGAAAGTAGCTTCCTGGGTGAGACTCAGAATTCTGTGAGCGCCCTGCTTCAGGGCTGGCCTAGGGTTAGCAGGGGGTTGCCTCCTGAAGACCTCATCTCCTCCTCAACTGGGGTCATTGAGAAAAAAACCCATAACCTCAACGGTCCTGGTTTGGTGCTGGCCCAGAGCAAGTATCTTCTTCCAGGATCGCAGCTACAGATGTTCCAGGAAAAAGCTGCCTGTCTTCAGGCATCCCTCAGGAGCCAGACCCTGGCTGGGGATGATGGCTGGGACAGAAAAAAGAACGAGTTCCCTCTGTCTCTTTGAGCCTGGTTTATAGGGGGACAGTCCATGCTAAGGAGCTCCCTTGGTCACAGGAATGAGTCTCTTCAAAAAAAAGGAGGTCAGTATGGCTGGAAAGCTTCTCAGAGCTCATATTCTCTTCTCCCAATCTACTACAGGTGCCCAAACCTGACCCCCAAAACCAGACTGGTCACAAACCCTGGGTTTCCACACTCCCAGGAATAGGAAATACACGCTACCACTAAGGTGAGTCTAAACTTGCCTCTCTGACCCTGGCTCCTTCCTTGGGGGCCCCACAAAATTCAATCTGCATCTCTCTCCTCCGTGGGACAGGATCTCTTGGCTAAAGTCCCTGCCACTATGCTACTTCCTCTAGGCTGCACACCTCCAGTGCAGATGTGCCCTGCTATTCCTGCAGATACTCTGCTTTCTCCTATGCTTTGATAAGGTTTGAGCTTTGGCTTTATTGGTCTTAAAAATAAATAAAGAACCTAATGAGATCCACAGGCTTTTTCTCTTCTCCTCTCCCTCTATAAAGAAAGAAATGGGAGGGGGACCTTCTCCCCCTGTGAAAACCTTCAGGCCAGAGGAGGGTGGAAGACAAGCTAAGACCAAGCACTGCCCTTCCTTATTCCCTCGGGCCACAGCGCAAGAAACAGCATCTTAACCTTTTCTAGCTCCCCGAGGAGAACATCCTAGAAGTGTGGTCTCTGCCAAGGGTTTTAAAGTCTTTAATTTGATTTCCCTCACATAGGCAATTGTTGTAATTATTCTGATTAGGAATCATTACCCAGTGCAGCCTCTGCACCCGACAGGCACAATGCATCCAGCGGCAAGCTGCAGTGGGGCAGGCAGGCCCAGCCACAGCTCCTGGAGGAGCTCACAGCAAACAAAAGCCATCGATGGGGAGTTCTGGGTGAGTTAATGAAGTGCTCACATGCCACAAGAAGCCAACACTAAAGCTAAACAAAAACACCTCCAGTCCCTGAGGCGAGTCCCACCATGCCACAGCCCAGCTCCCCTACTCCCCAGCCCACCCAGTGCAGGCTACCCTAGAGCCAGCCAGCACAGGGCCATAGGCCAGGAAGGGGTGGGGGCCCCTCTGCCTGACTCCTGGCAGCACTGGGACATCTTGTCAAAAACCCTGACGGGAACAGCTGGAGATGACAGATCAATGGTTCAATACTCTCAACAGCATGTCACTGATGTGACAGCAAATGTTATTCTAATCAAGCCATAATCATAGTCAAATTACACGGCTACATTCTCAGGAGGGGAGGGAGAGAAAGGCAGCAGGAAGGGGTCAGAGGTCAGGAATTAAGGTCACTCAACCTACCTCCAGCACTTGCTGCAGGCTTGGCTGACCATCCACCATGGCTTGAATAATTCCGGTGAGCTGAAAGGAAAGAGAAATAGCCAATGTGTGGAAAACCAGGGAGTAGGGCCTCAAGGCTAAACTGGACCCTTTCCTTTTTGTTCTTCTCCTTCTGCTGTAAAGGGCTCTCATCTGGCACTGCTTTAGGTTCAGTGCCCAACTAGAAGCCTTGGGAATAAAGTCCCAGGACCCAGGACACAATGTGAGCTGCTCCCATGAAATCCTGCCCTGACATAGATGTACACATACATATGCAGACCACAAGGTGTATTCTCACACCTGCTTCAGGTTTCATTTTGCAAACAAATTGATGTTACACATCTTTTGTATTCAACAGGTTCCATAACTTCCTGCAATTACAGTCTCAAATTCAGCTCCTAACTTCACAGAAGTTCTTGTAAAACTTGGGGAGTGCTCACACAGGACAGACACACTTGGCTTCAAGTCTGTCCCTTCTCTGAGCCTCGATGTCCAGCACTGCCCTCTGCCACACTCTCCCTAACACCTTCCCTAACATCCATGAAGTCCCACAGGCACCTACATTTCACCCTGCACATGTGGGCCCTCAATATGAACCAGCCAAGCAAGAAACGGAGTCACCTTTAACTGACAGGGAAACTAAGACAAAAAGGCCCTATGTTCAGCACATGGCCTAGAGAATTTCTGACTCAGGCCTACACTCCAGTCCTAGGTCAGGACTGGGTTCAAACAAGCTTGTTGTTTTGCTTTTAGTTTAGTTTTAAGTAAAAATATCCCTCAGGTACAGACTAGAGATAGATTGCCTACAAGGATCTGAGGGCATGAGGCTCCCATGTCCTGGACATCAATGAGAAATCACCACCCCCAGCATGTCCCTGGCTACTTCCAGAAAGAGCAGTATCTCAGGCTTGCTTGGAAACTTCTTTTTTTTAAAGTGTGCTGGGTGGGGGGGAGATTAAACTCCAATTAAACTATAATTACACTTAATGAATACCAAATACCCAACACACAGAAATCGCTGGCTCTAAGAGGGAAGGTTATTTTCTCATGGCGACTTACATGGAATGGTAATATACACCTTTTAGGGAAGAAATTTTCATTTTAAAAATGCTGAGCTCCTCTAGGTGGGTTTCTGTAGTTCATCAAATCATTATTAGGTGGTATTTTAAGGAAGTGTAAGGACACAGCCACTCTATTTTATATTCCAGAAACTGTTTTTATATTAATCTGTATTTTAATTGGGTAACAGCTGCTGCCTACAGACTTCCCATGGTCTAAAAGGAAAATAAATTAGAAAGATTAACTACACTGTTGTTTTGCAAAGCTTTAACCCACAGCATGCCCACCCGGCTGGCACCTCCACACCCTTTCCTTGCTTGGAAGACCAAAGAACTGCCCAGTAGAGGGAGGGCCTGAGTCAAAGTGAAGAAAAGATGGTCCGCTAAGAGCTGGGGGGCTGGGAGTGGGGAAGTGCCCTTGGTCAGCAGCTTCAATAATCTTGGAGTATAAAGGACTCCACCTTTTATTTAGTCAACAACTATTCATAGAGAGCCTACTATGGGCTGGGCTGCATTATAGGAACCAGGAATCTGGCAGTGAAGAAAAATGTAAAAACTCTGCCCTCATGAAATGTGTGTTCTCTGCAGCCCCTTCCTAGGCCTAGCCCCAACTAGTACTCAGAGCCTGTACGCCTTCCAGGGCCACAAAGTGAGCAGGCAGTTGCCCTATGTTTTGCCTTGGGCATGAAGGGGCCAAACAGAGTCAGGAGGAGGCCCCAGATTAGTGACAGACACCCACAGGCACACCACTGCCTGTTCTGGCCCAGCTTCTGTCCTGCTAAGCCTGGGGCTTAGATACATCTTTAAGCTTGGAGATGGGGCTTCGGATCAGGACCATCCTGGAAAAGGGGGACCACAGCTACTCTCACTTCTTAGGAAGCTCTAGGGTTGAAATGTCAGTCTTGTGTCTGGTCTGAGTTTCAGGAGGCAAGATTAGGTCCACTCCTTCCTTTGGCTCCCACCAAGGGTCACTCAGATGAGCTGAATGCCAAGGGCTTCAAGAAAGTCTCACTCACACAGGAAACCAATGTGCCCTTGCCAAGAACCCTCGGTTCCTGGAGGTAAGGCTTAGGTCAGCACCTATATACCCCATAAGCACCTGCCCTGGGCCCCAGTAAAATCACTGATGTGGGGCAAGAAAATCACTACACCAAAATGGAAAACCGGGGTGCTGCTCAGGTGTTCTGCTGCAGGATGTCTCACTGCAGACTAAGCCCATCTCTCCCACCTGGAGCAGGGGGAATGGGGCTCCATCATCCTGGGGCTTTCACAAACTCCACTCCAGTGCTCAGTGATCCTAGAATCATCAGCCTGGGAGGAGCCTAGTGAGGTCAGCTCCTTTTCTCACCATGTTCCCAGACAACAGCCATTTTTATCTGAGGCCCAGCAAGGCAAGGCTCATAGCTGAGTTCCTCAAGAATTTGCATTTAGCCCCCAGAGACACAGGGGACTTGAGCTGTTGGCTCAGCTAGACAAGGCTTCTCAGGGAAGGCCTCAGGCCCCTGTATTAATCCCTCCAACAATGGACCACCCCTTATCAGCTCTGCCAAGGCACTGGACAAAGAAGGGATGAAATTAAAGTTAGTTCTGGGCTGTGTGTGGTGGCTTTGCCTGCAATCCCAGCACTTTGGGAGGCTAAGGCAGGAGGACTGCTTGAGCCCAAGAGTTTGAGAACAGCCTGGGCAACATAAAAAAAAAAAAAATTTGGGGTCTCTTTAAGTGAAAATTACCTGATACTAACAACCTATAAGACACCTGTAAGGCTTATACAAGGTGCCATGAAGGAACATGACAATTTTATCAAATTAATACTGGGAAGTTCTATCTTAGGCCTAACTTAAATCCTTCATGTTATAGTTTAAGCCATGTCCCACTTGGGTTAACATGTGTTTGTAAAAAGCTTTTACATCCTCACAACGAAAGGTACTAGAGCAAAGCCAAGTATTATTAAGCTGAGAACCAGGGCTCACAGGCTAAACAGAGCTCAGAGACCTTAGCCACTTAAAGCAGGAGAGGTGAGTGGAAGAATTAATGTGTGCTCTGTGGCTCCTTTCACTGAGGGATTACAGATTAACTCCCACTTCTCCAGACTCAGAAACCACAAGGCAAGGGGCTTTTGACCCTGACTGATAACATGGCTGGTTACTGAGATCCCCTACCCTCACAAGGGCTTTGTCCAGGAGTGAGCTGGCTTCATCATGAACACTAGCAACTCCAGGAAGCAGCCCAGGAAACTCAGTGCCAATAGCATGTCAGCATCCAGCGCTTTCTCCTTTCACAGTTTATCTCCAACACAATCGTATTCTGACACCAAGACAGTTTGTTGATTACATAAGCACTTGTCTCTGGTGTGCAATCTGATAATCAGACCCACTCTTTCTCCTCAGACAAAGAGACCAATAAATCTCACCCTTTATAAGTACAGGTGCAAGACAAAGCCCTTTACTGGCATTTAGCAAAATGATATTTCTCTAGTTTTTTTCATGACAACAACAAAAAGAAGACATGGCTAGGGACTGTGCAGCAGCCCAGCTGCTAGAGACAGAGATTTGATGAGCTGGAGCAGATTCTAGAAGTCACAGGGAAAGGGCTTGGGAAGGAATGAAACATATCCCATCCTATCTCTGTCAGAACCATGTCTCCAGGCTATCAACTAAAACTAAGAAAGGACCTTAAGAAGAGTACTAACACATTCCTAACATGAAGCAGTAAGAGTCTCTCTGTGTATGCTAGGGACTCACTCAAAGTGGAATCCTTCTTCCTACTGTACAGCACTGAGCCTGCTTCTCTCCCCACACAAGCATGTGCCCATGTGTGTGCACGTGTCATAGCATGTGCAGGCAGACACAGACACACACACACACACACACACACACACACACACACACAGAGGCTGGGGTTCTTAAGAACTTCTGGTGCACAAGAGAGAAAATCCTGCCAAAACAACTACTTAAGTATAATCTGGATGCTTGGGGTTGTTCCTCACACTTACTAACGAGAGATTTTCTCTAGTTGGAATGACCTCCACCCCTACCCCCAAAAGGCACCAACTGCCAGGTCGGATGAGGTCTCAGAACGACAGCCCCCACTCTGTGTCTATGCCTGTTGGAGATACAATTCCATCTGGTATGGAGACAGAGCAATATTTACATGATTTGAGGTTTCCAACAAGACTTTACTTACTCAAAAAAACAAGTCAGCAGTACAGCGGTTTTGGGGGGAGACAGAAAATAACTCCTTGACAATATTCATTCGTTTAAGGAACACATATCAAGTGTTTACTTGGTAGCAGACCCTAACGATGGGACAAAGATGAATCAGGTCTAGTTTCTGCCCTGAAGGAACTTATAGTCTAGTGAAGAAACAGATAAATAATTATAGCATAAAGTATCTGATCAGTTCTGTGTTGGGGTAAGCACAACTCAATCTGGGGATCAGGGAAAGTGACCCTAAGCAGAATCCTGGAGGTCAGGCAGTAGTTGGCGAGGAGAGTGGGAACCCTGTGCAGGCAAGGACCATCAAGTGAAAAGACAGACTGTAAGAGGGCAACCTCTGGGTGAGGGGAGCTAGGTGGGAGATGAAGCAGGGAGATATAAGGCTGGCCAAAAAAGAAGGGACAAGATCATGGAGAGTTTTAAGCTGCAGAAACCTGAGACAAAATGGCAGACCCAGTGCCTACAGAACAACCACATTTTCACTTTTAGAACAGGCTTCATAATAAGGATCCCAATCACCGCTCCTACTCCCCTCCAAATTATGTACGTGCATCCTTTGGTGAAGCTTTCCAGAGTGAAGAACCTGTTCATCATAGCCTCACAATCCCTCCTCCCATCCCTAGAAAAAAGTAGCAGCAGTAGCCTTACTCTAGAAGAAGTCCCTCTTCTGACACTCTCAAAGCATCCCCTCCTGCCCAGGGTCCAGTTCCAGCAGAATTCTGTACTATTCCTAAATGTTACCTATTCCTAAATTCTGTTACCTATTCCTAAATGTTACCTATTTAGGAATAGGTAACAAACTTTTCACAATTTGGGCCTGCCTGTCTATGCAAGGACAAGAGGACATTAGCCTTTCAGGCCAGTGGAGGGCTCAGGAAAATGGCTGGCTAAAGGAAGTCATTCCTTCCCTTCCCATAAGAAAGGGAATTTCATCAACATTAAAATGATGATTTTTCAAGAGGGGCAGAAAAGTCAGATTAGCGCCCCCTGGTGGTATAGGTAAATCCCAGGGAAAAGGGGAAAACACAGTAGAGAAAAAGAGAACCAGAACCCAACATCATTAGTTGGAATAACAAAAGGCTTAAGAAGCTAGGCACCTTACCAGATGGATGCCTGCAACAAAAGGCCTACCTGGGTCAGCTGACAAACACTGGTGTCGAATTCAGGAGCAACCCTCGAGACCTCATATCTGAGCTAAGTCAGTCTCGGGGCCCATGGAGCCCTCCCACCAGGGTCAGGCAACCTTGTCCCCAGCCTCCTCACCAAGGAGATTATTTGGGAGATTACAATTTGAGAATCCCTTTCCACCAATTTCATTCACATGTAGAAGATGGATCTCTAAATGAAGGCACAAAGTCTCTAACGAACCTCAACCCCAGACTCTTAAAAGATTCTCATCACCCCTGCTACTACACATTCTTAACCCCTGATTGCACCACAACCTGTGGGCCACCACTGAGTGCATTACATGACATGTCACAGGGAAACAGCCACAGAAGGCTTTACACAGTCCTGGGAGTCAGAACTTGCAGGGGCTCCTCCCCGCTGCCAATAGCTCTTTTGAGCCTCCAGCAAGCATCAAAATCTCAGGCCTAGTTTCACAATCTGTAAAATGGGATCAATACTAACCTGCTGACAAGGAGGCCGAGTATAGCACCCCCCTAGGATAAGGACATTTCAGCCGTGGCCAGCCAGGCCTCATGCTTTGCTCAGACGGCTCTTCTCTTCCCTTGGTGATGGATGTACCTCCAACAAACTCAGCCTATGCTTCACACAGGGCCACTTTACGGGAGGACAGAGTAACAATGCCAGAAAGCTAAGACGGCCTGAACATAACCTTGCCTTCCAAGTGGCTAAAATCTTTACCTCTTGCCAAGGGGCCCTAAGGGAAATGGAACTTGAAAGAACCTGAACCCTGGAGTACCATTCTGTTCCTGGTCTCCAACTGCCAGTCTCCAGGAAGGGATGCTGGGGAAGCAGAGGTAGACTGAGCCACTGCTCTCCCTGGGTCCCCAGTCACAACAGTGGCCTGAGTGAGTGGCAGACTTTACCAAACCTAACTGCTAGGTCCAGTGTGTACTTGCCTTAGGCACTGTTAAGCCCCATGCTCTCCCTAAGTGGCCTATATAGAGCACGAAGGATTCCAAAATTCCCCTCCCAGCAGCCCTTGCTGCCCACTTCCAGGGCCCTTACCTCTGTACAGAAGGGGGTAAGCTGTGGGTGGACTACAGGCTGGACATACATGTGAAAGGTAGACTCAATCTCCATGGTCCGGCCATTTAGCTTCAGGATGGGGAACTCAATGATTTCCTGGAGTACCAAAGATAGAGAAAAGGAAAAATAAGTTACTGTAATCGACCATTTCCAACAATAGCTGCAAGTCAAGAAAGAATGAGTGTTTTGGGTTCATTAGCTCCTACCAGGCCAAACCCAAGACTGAGTGAGACAGTGCCAGCACAGTTACAATCCTAACCCTCCCACTGCTAATATCCTCATAGGTTCCAGGGACTGGACACAGCTCTCATCCCCATTGTTTCTGGAAACGAGAAGGAAGACAGGGGTGTCATCTTCCCCAGGTTCTCCAACTGGTTCTCTAGCAGAGGCTTGCTCACTTGAGCCCCTACGAATAGGCCCTTCTTTCTCTTGCCCAGGCCCCTGTCCAGAAATGGGTCTGATCTCCTGCCATATAGACAACCAGCTATCAGACCAGTGCATAGATTACCTTGTATGAAGTTTGAACCGAGCTGGTATGTTTCTTCACTAGTTCTTATTTAAAAAAAAAAAAAAAAAAAAAAAAAAAAAAAAAAAAGGTAAAAAATAAAGCCAAAGGGGATCCCAAAGAGAAGGAGAAAAGTGAGTAAGAGTAATAGAAGCTAGCGCCTCCCACCTTTCTTTCAGGCAGTACACACTCCCCTGCACCACCAGCCCAATCGCTTAGCCAGCCCTTCCCAGTCCACTGAAACATAATGGAAGAGAAGGAGGAGGAGTGACAATTTGTTTGGTGTCTCTAAGATTAATTTGTCTCCGCTATTTAATAGAGATGCACAGCACCAAGGTCCTGGTGTGCAAACAGGCTTGCAGAACGCTGGCTGTGCAGCACGCCACATACATCGCTCCTGGGAAGGGAGGAACACACCAGAGTGGGGAGAGGCCAGGAGAGAGCACATGCATACCAGGGAGAAGAGGGAAAGCAAGGAGAGAGAATAAAAAAAATTATTGCTTTTTAATATTCAAAAACAGTTTGCAAAATTTAATCAAAGCAGAGGAAAAGCTAACATTTTTACCACTTTGACATTTTTATTAGCACTTTCATAAATTTTTAAAACATGAATGGAATTAGTTTACAACACAAAAAAAAACTGCCCTGAAAACATCTGGAGGAGACAAATAGGAAATATAAAAAATAAATAAATAAAAGCAAATTTCTCTGTGTAAAATTAGCATGTGGTAAGGGCCTCCACTGCAGAAAAAGGGGGCTCTGCCCATTCAGTGGCCCCAATAGTCAGCTCCAGCAGCACTCCTTCCCCAGGTCCTTCATTCTCGAGAAGACCTTTCCAGTATCATTAAAATCACGGTAAACTGGTTCTCTCCAGAGACAGCCTGGAGAAGCAACACGAAACTGATAACACCTGACTGCATTTAGGAAATGAATGGGTAGGAAAATGGGAAAAATGATCAATCTCCTTGATGTCCCAGGAAAGCCAGGTATCCTCCCCGCAAAACATACCCACTAATATTGGGCTTGTTTTTAAAGCATCTACTTCAATCCAACACAAAACTGCAGGACTGAAAACCAAATCAAGTCAGTCAGATTTCATGCCAGAGAGATTCAAAGATTCTGGTTGCCTTGTTTCTGTGGGCTAATCTCCAAAGATGAGGAAGCTGACAGGAGCTTATTCCCAGAGGTGGAAATGGCAAAATGGCTGCAAGGCTGAGGCAGAGGGGAGAGAGGGGAAGCCCAGGCTGCTGCTTAGACCAGGGTGATACCTCTCCTCCCAATATGAAGAGAGGAGAACACTCATTCCCAATTCCCTGGGCCTTCTGTTCCCCATGAACCATTACATACAGAGTAAATGGGGCTTTTGGTACTGAACAACAACATTGAACACACACCAAAAAAATTACACATTGGTCCCCCTGCAAAATCAGGTATCCACAATTTCCAAGAGCCAACTCTGAGGTGTGGCCCTTGTGTCAGGCCCATCTGACTCCTGATTTTCTGATGTGTCCTTCCTCTCCCCCTAAGTAGAAGAAACACTTCCCCAACAGAAAGAGCTCTATAGCCTGGTGAGTTTGGCTGCCCTGGTGTCTAAGGAAACAAATATAGCCAGCTCCTCACTAACAATGTTAGCTGGGCCCACAATGAAATTTAACCTGTGACACAACTGTACTTTTCATTTAAACTTTCATTTGGAGAGCAGCAGTGTTTGGAGACCTACAGTTTGTCCTGCTAATCAAGACAAGTGTTGGGACCTTTAAGGATGCCATTCATCTTTGGCTTTTTATTAAATTCAATTTTCTTAAGCCCATGATACATTATGAAATTAGGAGTTGACATTCCTCTGGAAATAAAAATATCTATCAAACATAAATAGAAAAAACCCTCTATTACCAAGAATTTATGGCTTAAAGTTGATCTCTTTCCACTTTTTAACAAGCACATGGTTTGTTTTAGATATCTGAAATGCTATTATAGATCTAGGATTTCATTAGTATTTATTATAAAATAGTATGTGCTCCAGCTTCCACGCTGACCAGCACCAAGTCAGCATCCCCAGCAGACTCTCTGGAAATTTGGCCTTTGAGTTTCCCCACTGCAGCAAATAACAGCAAATACTGCAGCTCAGTATTCAAACTTTCCTGATGCTAGCTTTCTCACCCATAGGGAAATGGGGCCAACTAAGTGCTGAAACTCAGTGCCATGCTCCCAGAGAGGAAGAACAAGCCAGACTCGGATCTACGCAAAAAAAAAAAAAAAAAAAAAAAAAAGGAGGAGGGGTGTAGGCCCCTGAAATTCCTAGAGGGCCCAGACCCAAGGCCCAGGACATATCAGATTGGGCCTATTATAAACATATCTCTGATAATGCTAGCTCATCAGCCAAGCCTTCTCCCCAAGATTAAGAAGAGGTGCTTTCAACGGTCAGTCTCAAAACATGACTTGGCAGGGGCTGTTCCTCCGCAACATGAGGAGCTGTTTTAACAACGAGCCTGCACATCGGCACATTCACTTGAGCCACTAAGGATGTAAAAGAGAAGCTTCTGGGAAAAGACTCTCTGAGAAGTCAGAGCAGCAAGGACCTCACTTAGGTACTTCTTACCTTCCCATATTGCCCAGCAATCCCAGAACCTCAAAATACTGACCCAAACAACCCAGTAACGGGAGAAGTGCCCCAATCTGCACCAAGTTGGCACAGCTCTATAGCCAGGGCACCTGGAGCATGACAAACACTTAGATGATTTTTAGCTGATAATGATTAGAAATGGAGCTCCAACACTACAGTCTGGTGGCATTAATTCCAACACAAAGATTTGTGACCATGTGTCCAAGTGCCAGTCTCTATGTCCAGTTGCTCAGATAATGAAACTGTTATTCCTGACCCTCACCTTTTCTCTCATCCAATTTCATCATTCCCCTAAGAAAAGGTTTATTTTAGAAACAGTTTAGTGTAAAAGTAGCACCAGGAAGGAAAGAAGGGCCAGTTTGTATTTACCAGCCCTCTTTCCCTACCCTAATAATAGCTTTATAATTTTTTGCCTTTGTATGCCCGATATTGTGTAGGATATCAGACAGGGGTTCTAGAAGGACTAGAGATAAGATGTAGTCTCCACTTTGGAGAAGTGCATGGACCATGAATGAAAAAGATAGGCAAACAAATAAAGAACAGTACACTGTGATAAATATCTTAGTGGAGGGACATACACAGTGTTATGTTTTTCCATTTACAAAAGTGTGGTTTCACATATTCTTTTTTTTTTTGAGATGGAGTTTTGCTCTTGTTCTCCAGGCTGAAGTGTGGCGTGATCTCAGTTCACTGCAACCTCCGCCTCCCAGGTTCAAGCGATTCTCCTGCCTTGGCCTCCTGAGTAGCTGGGATTACAGGCGTGCACCACCATGCCCGGCTAACTTTGTATTTTTAGTAGAGATGGGGTTTCTCTATGTTGGTCAGGCTGGTCTCAAACTCCCGACCTCAGGTGATCTACCTGCCTTGGCCTCCCAAAGTGCTGGGATTACAATTGTGAGCCACGGCACCCAGCCTCACAGACATTTTCTTACTTTACCCCCCTTAATCCTGGAAGATAGGTCGCATCATCATTACCATCACCATCACCATCACCATCATCAGGTCATAAATCAATACTATTAAGCATCTACTATTCACCAAGCAGGGACTGGCTGTAGACACAGAGATGAATACAATGAAAGGTGGCTCCTCTCTGTGAGATGCTCAAGTCTGGGCAAAGAGTGGAGAGGAGCTGGCCTCCAATGTTCTCCAAGACACATGGAAAATGCAATCATTTTATTCCTTCCATTTATCATTGTTTACTATGTGGCAGATACTGTGCTAACAGGAATGATTTCATTTAATCCTCCTAACTCACGAGGTGGGAATCATTGTCATTCCTTTTTCACAAACTAAGGCCCAAAGATGTTAAGTTACTTGCTCACAGTTATACAGCTTGTGAGGTACAGAGCTGGGGCTCCAAAAGGCAAAAATAAGACTGAGACCTAAAAAGAGTAGGACTAGCAGCTTTCAAAACATGAAAGGTCAAGAAAAACCTGGTTCTCTTAGATTAAAAGGCTACCCTGTAGGGAACTCAAGTCTACTATCTCCTAGAAAGAGAGGCTGCTCTCAAATTTTAAGAGCAATGAATGTGGACTATCCAGGCAGAAAAGTTTTAGAGGTTTGCTACTGAAAAGCCTCCACCATGGCTGCAGTAACACAGATAGCACAGATGGCATCAGGGAAGGCAGGAACCATGCGTCTTCAGTGTGATCTCCAGTACCTAATTCCTATGCTGGCACACAAGCTTCACTCTCTCAACTTCTGTAGGGTAAACATACGAAAGGGCTGCTAAGTGGAGGAGACAAGCCAAGGGCCTGGCTGTACCGGAAGACACAGAATTCTCCACAGAATCAGAGAGGAGAATTGATCTGTCTAAGATGTCAAAGAAGGTTAGTAGTACAGCCAGGATTCAAACCAAGACATTTAACAGTTCGAAGCACTTTCTACTAGATCTACTCTCATCTCTAAGTGGTTTTCTCCCTCAACTACTACAAACCACCAAATCCCAGTCTTACCTAGGGTAAT